TCCATCATTACGTCCTACCCAATGTTGAGTGAGTGAGTTTGGTTTTACGCCGCTTTTAACAGTATTCCAGTTATATCACGGCGTGTCAGCTTAATGTGGGAGGAAAGCCCGAAGTGATGCAGGTCTCAGACGTTTACCACTTCAGTGAAACCCACGAGCAAGGGTATGGTGCTGACAAACCTAGAAACATAATCGGGGCGAACCGGGATTCGAACCCACAATCATAGGTTTCTGGCGTGCCAAAGGGACGCAACTCTGCACAGTGAATCGCGGCGCCTTAGACGACTGGGCCACCCGTGCCCCCTACCAAATGTTGAAATGGGATTTACTTTTCCGATCGAGCTACATTAAGTTTCGCGAACGTATTATGTCGTCTGTGATTTTGAAGAATTTGAGAAGATTGTCATCACAGTAAAATAATTACATTTTAACTGTGTCCATCTTGAAAACCGAACGATTTTTGATAAGGGACCGTTCATTGAATATTTTTGACAGAGATGTATTTTTCGATCACCGGTTCTTAACATACACGGAGCCAAACAAGTTTGTTTTTTTATGTACAACATATTTCACCCAACTCACTCACTCAAGATATCAAGCATGCCCGGGTAGGATGTATGTTTTGTTTTGTTTTGTCAAATCTCAGGTGAGGTGAAATGGGGTTTAACGTCCCGTACGTGCATGTACGTGTGTGTGTGTGTGTGTGTGTGTGTGTGTGTGTGTGTGTGGTTGCTTGTACTAGTCCGGACAGATGCCGATTTATAGAGCTAGCTCACTGGGATACCATGCCGCAGTTTAACATGAATACCCCACTCAGACACAGTATACTGACACCGCGCCGACCAGTCCTTGTTTTAGCCCCTTAATGATGAGCGCCAGACTGGGTAACAACAAGTACCATCTTTTGGTATGACGCGGCCGGGGATCGAAACCCGGACCTTCCGCTCCCCGGGCGGGCGCGCTACCACTCGACCACGGAGGCGGTCTGTCAAATCTGAGGATGTCATCTGTACACGTGCATGATTATTGATCTCCGTATATTCCAACCAACTCCTCATTCTTCAGCGAACTCGGCCACGGCCCCCATGCTAATCGAAATGTCACCACATTCACGCGACAGAAGGACAAAGAATAGTTTATTTACATCTCAATCGTAATAACATAGAGATATATTATACACACAATCCAGTAAATCTTAACTGCGACCAATCGTCTCGCGATTTATGAAAGATGATAAAACCAAACATAGTCATAAAATAATACATAACTGAAAGACATAATCAACTGTGTCGTGTTAAGATTTATATCAAATAGTAAAACTTATCTGCGCATTAAAAGGCGACTATGTTTCTAAAATGTTGCAACAGGTTTTGGCTACAGAAAAAAAATGTCATTCGATAAAAGTAAGGCAAGGTGTTGACTTGTAAATAACACATTAAAACCAGGCCTAGGTCATAACACTTCCTTAAAATATCTTCACGTAAAACCGTTTATAATGGACAGCTGAATAACACATGTGCCTCATCGTCTACACTGGGGAACGGGTGGCCCAGGCGTCTAAGGCGCCGCGATTCGCTGTGCAGAGTTGCGTCCCTTGGGCACGCCAGAAACCTATGATTGTGGGTTCGAATCCCGGTTTGTCCCGATTATGTGTCTGGGTTTCACCGAAGTGGTAAACGTCTGAGACCTGCATCGCTTCGGGCTTTCCTTCCACATTAAGCTGACACGCCGTGATATAACTGGAATATTGTTAAAAGCGGCGTTAAACATAACTCACTCACACATTCATCATCTACACAGTTAACACAATCAAAACAGTAGCTGTGATCTGCCGGGATAATCTCATAGCGTCAAGTCTCTACTCTGACTGAGGCTACGCCCCATCAAAATTTGGCAAATGCGCGTAAATTTGGTGTGAATATACCTTGACTCACATACTCCCTTGTGCAATTTGCCTTTGCGACAAGGCAAGGCAACAGTTTCAGCGACCTTAGGTTACATGAATTGTCAATGATTTAAGGCCGAGGGTTGTGATGTCCGCACCACGGCAACCAGTCTATACTTTACAGTGCGCTTCCATCAACAAGCGTTCACTTTGACGCAGAGCGTGTGGAACTACAACAGATGAAATGGGTTCAACGTCGCGCTCAGTATTGCTGTAGTTATATACGTAGATAGGTGCGTGCCTGCCTGCCTGCGGTGCGTGCGTGCGTGCGTGTGTGTGTGCGTGTGTGTGTGTGTGTGCGTGTGTGTGTGTGTGTGTGTGTGTGTGTGCGTGTGTGCGTGTGTGCATATACTCGTCCAGACCGATTTTACAGTGCTTACCCACTTAGATACCATACCGCAGTTTAATATGGACACCCCACTCAGACACAGTATATTGACTCCGCGCCGACCAGTCTTTGTTTTATCCCTTTAATGCTGAGCGCCGGACAGGATAACAAGTATCATCTTTTACCGTATTTTTGGTTAGACGCGGATCGAACCCCGGACCTTCCACTCTCAGATGATAGGGGTGATAACAGTTGTACTATTGATTACAAGGTTCGTCAAACACAACAGCATTACAGACAACATGTACGTGACTTAAACACTTGAAATGAGTTGAGGTTGTGTAATGTTGTACAATTGTACAAATCGACATAAATACATTTCAAGTGATTCAACGCGATTTGATCGTCCATAAACGCAAAACATATTGAAGTCATTTCTTAGATACTCATGTTTAAACATCTGTTTTGTTGTCGTTGTATTTTCAACATTCCTGAAAAAAATTATATAGTTGGTTGGTTGGTTGTTTAACGCCGCACTCAGCAATATTCCAGCTATATGACGGCGGTCTGTAAATAATCGAATCTGGACCAGACAATCCAGTGATTGATATCATGAGCATCGATCCAAGCAACTGGGATACGATGACATACATCAAACAAGTCAGCAAGCCTGACTACCGATCCCTTTAGTCGCCTTTTACGTCAAGCATGGGTTGCTGAAGACCTATGCTATTCCGAAGACCTATTCACGGGTTACATAGTCAATGGAAAATATTTATTAATAACTGAAAATTAATAACTACTTACTAGTGTATGGATTTATTCAGGTTTCTACATGATTGTTTTAAACATGGGGAATATCAGCCGAGTCTTTAATTTGTCAAACGTTTTTGCTATACTTATCTACAAGGAACGTCAACAGTGAAGTTGGTCACGCTACGTTTAAATTATCAAATTGTGACTGTCACAGAGACAACCTCAAGTTCGATAACATCAAATAACCTTTAATAGCCATTTATTTGACGACACTGATATTAGTGAACACTTTACCACTCTCGCTTTGATCTAATCTCGTTAAAATAAGAAAGATCTGACGACACTTCCTAGAAGGTCGCGTCAGGTGAAATTTCTACTCAGCTGATCACCGTCGAGGCTTCTAGATTCTCGGAGATTGCTTTTGATCTTTGAAATATTGTCTCTACCATCAAATGAATGTTGTATGTAAACATCACGCGCACCGGTGAAAAGAGTGTCATTTCCGGTCATCTAGTTGCATATTTACATCATCGGGGCACACCATGCATAATTTTATGTCACAAGCTTATATCACGGATAAATGTTTAGTTTAATGACAAAATACCTTTGCAAAATGGTAATGGCTTTACAAAATGATTAACCATTTTACAAAATTAATTTTTTTGACACAACCAAGAGTAGCTTGGTGGGTTAGTGTGGAGATCAATAAATGTGTTTTGAAATTTGAAGTGAAGTAGATACCTCTTATTTGGATTTTGAACGTTTGTATCAGTTGGTTTGAAATAACTCCCTACAACAGTAATACATAAGGACTATATATCTCTTCACCCCGACCTTGACCTTGAAAATAGATGACAGTGTTTTTTACAAACTGAATGAGTCCAAATAAAAACCTTCTATCTGAAATTATGTTTAACATGATCCTGATGAAGCGATGGCGGCAGTCTACTGGTGCAACGTTGTTGCCAGCGGAGCCACTCCGAAGCATGGCCGAATACCGCCATTGAAGATATAAGAGACTTCTTGTTTTTATAACCGGTGATGTTTTTCACCTAACAGCTTTTCGACGCCAGTAATATGAAAGAAATGTGACTGTTGTTGCCCTGACACAGTGGTTAGTGTGTGTTGTACTTCACTGAGAATGTTCTGAAATAGATTTCATCATGTTTGATAAGCTGTTGTGACAAATTGCCTGTTTCGTGAGTGGATTATCGACAGCCATTGTTATGTATAGACTATCGAGATTTTGATGCATTCACGCGAATTTCTGGTGTCTTTGTGAAAATGCTTGTTAATTTTGAGGTATCTAATGGCATTTGAAACCGGATTGTATTCTTTTTTGGACCAATAGTGAGTGAGTGAGTATTGTTTTACGCTGCTTTTAGCAATATTCCAGCAATATCACCAATAAGATCCAATGAAGCATTCTTCGGTTGAATTATGATAGAATTGAGATTTACGCCTGAAATGACACTGATCCCTGACACCATCACCATCACCATCACCATCACAACTTCGACGAAACCAACAAACATGGGTGTAGTACTGACAAACCATTAATCAAAATCAATGCCAATCTGGGATTCGAACCCACGATCATTGGATTCTGATTCGACCGACTCTCCTGAGTCGGGTTTGACAACCTAACACAGAAAACCTCATTATGATGTGGAAGAGTTGCGTCCCTTAGTTCCCGGGATCTGGTAATAGTGAGTTCGAATTCAAGAATTCAATAGTGAGTTCGAATTCAAGATTCACACCGAGTATAGTCCTTCTTTGTTGTCGGCAACATACCGTGGTGGGTTTCACCATAAAGGTAAAAGTCTACGACATGCATCACTTCGGGCTTTCCTCCCACATTTAACAGCCACTCTACAACTGACATAATACCCGGCGCCGTTACAGATCATTTTCAAATGGCCTCATCCATAACTTGTTTGCATGAAGGTCAAGGTTGGTATCAGTTCTTACCAGGTGTATAGCGGCAGCCTGTGACTGGGTCGGCCAAGACAAAGGGCAGGTAACTCCATAACCGGCTAGAGACAGCGTTTGGCACTGTTTTTCTTTCTTTCTCCACTTCGCACGACGATTTTGAAACCAAACCTGAAAGAGTATCAAATATTTTTAATAACTCTGATTTAAGACGGCTTCCGTGTGGTATAGGTTGCTGAATAGACCGCAGCGATCGTAGCTTCTGTTTGGGCAATGGGATCAGGGCCCGCTTGCACAAAGCGATCTTAGTGCTAAGATGATCTTAACTCCCATACTTTAACATAAGCTTACAATAGTCTTAGCACTAAGATCGTTTTGTGCAAGTGGGCCCAGGACTCTCGTGTTACTCGTGACACAGAAGTTAATTCGACCAGTGGACAGAACGGAGTTTTGAAACCCATCCTTGACAGTACTCCATGGCGGTGTGACGATTTTCGCCCAAGAAGCATGCGTCACAACCAGCTCATAAGGGCGCCTTGATTTGACGCACTTCACTATGTAAGAACCGTTTTATCACATGTCAATATAAATCTTGATTATCGATCAGATCGTCTTGACTTGGCGCCGCCGTTTTGTTTATAGTGATACGATAGGCGGAATCTGATTGGTCCATAGGAGAGACTTAGAAGGGACATAACTCGTAATAGCCACTGCTGGCGCTACGATCGAGCCCAGGAATTCCAGCCTAGTTCGGCAAGGGTGGAAACTGGACTTTTAAAGTCAGTTAACTCTCTTGCCTCGGGAAGATGAAGGTAAACCCACATTAGTAATGTAGATTAGGGAATGTCCATACGCAGATTAACACAAACTAGTAATGTAGATTAGGGAATTTCCATACGCAGATTAACACTCATTAGTATTGTAGATTAGAGAATTTCGATACGCCCGTACACCCACATTACTAATCTAAATTCGGGCATTTCGATTCGGAGGTAAACGTTTACATTGCAGAGGGTAAATCAATGCCAGTTTTCTTGATTCGGGTGGAGTAGGGAGGGGTGTGTTCGTGGGGGTGGGTTTTCGAATGGACCCTGCGACCAGACTTCAAGACGAGAAGAGTTCACTGCGGTGACATGTTCCTACCTGTATTCGGGACTCGGGTAACTTGATGCGAGAGGCCAGCTTCTCCCGGGTGAAGATGTCGGGGTAGTGCGTCTTCCTGAACGCCCTCTCCAACTCCTGCAGCTGCCGCGTGGAAAACGTCGTCCTGTTCCGTTTTCCCTTCCCGCAGATCTTGTCACTGTAGCGCTCCTTGTTGATAGGTAGGGCAGGGCAGGTGGTTTCTGAAGAATGAGTGGGTGAGTTGGGTTTAACGCCCTGAGAAGTTTATTACCCATGTAAAAACCGAGGTATAGTGAGTGAGTGAGTGAGTGAGTGAGTGTTTAACGCCGCTTTGAACATTATTCCAGTGATATCATGACGTGTAAGCTTGATGTGGGAAGAAAGCCAGAAGTGATGCAGGTCTCAGACGTTTACCACTTTGGTGAAGCCCACGAGCACGTCGGAAACAAACCTAAAACACAATCAGGGCGAACCGGGATTCGAACCCACGATCATTGGTTTCTTGCACACCTACGGGAGGTAACTCTGCACAGCGAATAGCGGCGTCTTTTTGGAATTTTGGAGGATAGCCCAAGCGGAACTGACTGTAGAGGTTTACTACTGATGTAAAACCAGTGAGTGAGTGAGTGAGTGAGTGAGTGAGTGACACCGCATGTAACGGTAGTTATATCTAGTTATATCACGGCGTGTCAGCTTAATGAGGGAGGAAAGCCCGAAGTGATGTCAACGAATAGACATTGTACATGTAAAGGTCAGTCTACTTTCCATTGCGTTGTATTTCATATTCCAATACAAAGGACACCGTATATAACCATGACCAAGTCAGTGAAACAGGAGGAATGCACCTAATGTCTTTTTAACCGACATACCCCAAGACTTGTACTACAGGAAAAACGATTTTAAAAACTAAACAATTCCGATTCTGTTGAACTCCTTAACGTGGAAATTTCGAAAACATAACGTGTTACATACTAATCATGTAAATACTTCCAATAAATATCTCAAGAACTTCTACACGTTTTGTTGGTATATTTTTGGGGACAAGTACCCCGACCTGATAATTAGAGAGGAATTATTTATATATATGTTTTTACCCTGGTAGGTATAAAATTAAAATGGGAGGTATCTTTTTTTTTTTTTTAAAAAGAAGAAGAATAATTTGTTCCAGAAATAAGTTGTTCGCTGGAAAACCAGTGACCAAAAATATATGTTTCTAGCAAAAAATCCCAGGATGATGCATACATGCGGGAGGAACACAAAGTGAGGAATACCTTAGACATATATACTCTTATAGTGAAATGCATATCCACGACAAAGCAAGAATAAAGGCGAATCTCAGATTCGAACCCACGATCATAGTTTTCTGGCACCCTGAAGGGACGCAACTCTGGGGACCGCCCCCGTGGTCTAGTGGTAGAGCGTCCGCCCGGAGAGCGGAAGGTCCGGGGTTCGATCCCCGGCCGCGTCATACCAAAAGACGTTAAAAGATGGTACTTGTTGTTGTCGAAGACGTATATAATTTTGTTTCCGTCGGTCTACACTTCAAATAAAGAGAAACTATACATATCCCATTTTCATACATAATCCCAGATAATACATATTCCTTGATTCAAGACCGCCTCCGTGGTCCAGTGGTAGAGCGTCCGCCCGGAGAGCGGAAGGTCCGGGGTTCGATCCCCGGCCGCGTCATACCAAAAGACGTTAAAAGGTGGTACTTGTTGTTGTCGAAGACGTATATAATTTTGTTTCCGTCGGTCTACACTTCAAATAAAGAGAAACTATACATATCCCATTTTCATACATAATCCCATATAATACATATTCCTTGATTCAAGACCGCCTCCGTGGTCCAGTGGTAGAGCGTCCGCCCGGAGAGCGGAAGGTCCAGGGTTCGATCCCCGGCCGCGTCATACCAAAAGACGTTAAAAGGTGGTACTTGTTGTTGTCGAAGACGTATATAATTTTGTTTCCGTCGGTCTACACTTCAAATAAAGAGAAACTATACATATCCCATTTTCATACATAATCCCATATAATACATATTCCTTGATTCAAGACCGCCTCCGTGGTCCAGTGGTAGAGCGTCCGCCCGGAGAGCGGAAGGTCCAGGGTTCGATCCCCGGCCGCGTCATACCAAAAGACGTTAAAAGATGGTACTTGTTGTTGTCGAAGACGTATATAATTTTGTTTCCGTCGGTCTACACTTCAAATAAAGAGAAACTATACATATCCCATTTTCATACATAATCCCAGATAATACATATTCCTTGATTCAAGACCGCCTCCGTGGTCCAGTGGTCCGCCCGGAGAGCGGAAGGTCCGGGGTTCAATCCCCGGCCGCGTCATACCAAAAGACGTTTAAAGATTGTTGTTGTTACCCTGTCTGGTGCTCGGCATTAAAGGGGGCTAAAACAAGGAGTCAGTATACTGTGTCTGAGTGGGGTATTCATGTTAAACTGCGGCATGGTATCTCAGTGAGCTAGCACTATAAATCGTCATCAGTCCGGACTAGTACAAGCAGCCACACACACACACACACACACACACACACACGCATGCATGCACGTCGCTCTATAACTGCAATAATCTTGGACGCGACGTTTAACATTTCACCTCACCTCCCTGATTCAACATGCGTATATTACTTCAGTGAACCAGTAATTACACTATATCCTAAAAAGATGTCAAGGATTTTACATCCTCCCTTATAATTATCAAACCACTAGAGTATAAGTTGATGGTAGTTTTGGACTGGACATTTTAAAATATACAGTAGCCTTATATAATAGGCTGGGCATCACTAACAGGGGACACGGGTGGTCCAATTAGCTGTGCAGAGTTGCGTCACTTGGGCACGCCAGAAACCTATGATTGTGTGTTCGAATCCCGGTTGGCCCCGATTATGTTTCTAGATTTGTCAGCACCGAGCTTGTTGGTTTTACCAAAGTGGTAACCGCTTGAGAGCTGCATAAACTGGCTTTCCTCCCACATTTAAGCTAACACGCCCTGATATAAGAGGAATACTCTCACACTGTGAATACATAAGGTGTTGTTGTCATGTAAATACTGTCAAGCGCGACAGTTTTTCCTCACAAGTTGAAATAGGTGTTGTGAAAGGTCCTTTGATACAGCGTTAATGAGAGGCAGGTGTTGTTTTGTATATTTTTGTTTGTTTGTTTGTTTCAAATGCCTATCCCCGATGCCTCTCCCTTGCCTAGGTTGAACCAACGTTTATTAATAACTCGTAACATTATAAAAATACCAATAGAGTGTTGAAAATGCCTTTTGATATTCAAGATTATTAAGTTTATATATTTTATCCTCCCAAGGCATGAAGTCGGACATATGTTCACATAAGAGTAGAATTCATTTCCGGGGCTCATCAGATAGGGTGTTCAATGTTACGTGTAAATCTTTGCAAAGAGTATTGTTGAGTGCGGCGTTAAACAACAACAAACAAACAAAAACTTCGGGAGAAAACCCCGCTGTGATTCTTCGTATATTCTGGCGTTTGTATCTTAAACCAAAGACATTGCCCTGTTACATGTTTTTACATGTTACGGATTAAGGAGGTTTTAGTTTGTATGATTGAAAATTCATCATTATTGTTGTTTGTTGTTTAACGCCGCTCTCGGCAATATTCCAGCTATATGACGGCGGTCTGTAAATAATCGAGTCTGGCCCAGAAAGTCCAGGGATTGACATCATGAGCATCGATCCACGCAATTGGGATACGGTGACATGCATCAACCAAGTCAGCGAGCCTGGTCACCCGATCCCGTTTCTCGCCTCTTAAGACAAGCATAGTCGCCTTTTACGGCAAGCATGGGTTGCTGAAAACTATTCTTACCCGGATCAGCAGGTACAATTAACCCTTGATGAAACAAAGTGTCATAAGTATATGAAATTGTCATCTGATGCACATTAGCAATTTAAAAGATTAACGCACGCCCAACTGGACATTCGTAACAAATAATGTTCGAGCCAGCAAAGGTTGCAAGTATCCTTACTTGTAACGAATTTGTATTTACGCTGCGTTATCTGACTTAAAATACTGCGTAATCAGATTTAAAATACAGCATAAAAACTAAAAAGTATCAATAAATTAAAAAACAAATTAAAACACTAATATGCTTCATGGAAATATGCTATTACACGCCACTACTGTTTCAACTGTAGATAATCTGTAACGAAATGACAGTTTACTTACTCTATGCAGTGCAAACTTTATGCTCTTGCATTAATTCCAAGCACGAGCATCACAGATGTTTGTGGCGATCTAATCGCATAAAACGCACGTGAAGTATGAATATACAGGCTAGTTCGAATAAAGCACAAAGTTAAAGAATGTATTACGAAAGTACTGCATGAAATTCCCGTGCAACATATTTATTTTGCATAAATTTATTGATTAATTTAAAGACTTTAAGACTTAATTTAAGTTTAATTACGCAGTATTTTGTGATTATTGAAGCTGTATTTTAAGTCAGATAACGCACGTGTAACTGGCCTTCGATTCAAATAATTATACAAGTACTTGCAAGCTTCGCTGGCCCGTACATTTTTTCAAACGAATGTACAGTTATTTATCCTTAACGGAGACCAGAGTCGGTACAATTAGTAAGGATACAGCACTCGTTGTTTGTTTACGAACCCGTTGAAATGTGCGTACCAATCTAAAGGTACACAATACACAGAAAAAAATGACATCATGAGAAACATAAAAGCTTATGGGGGACAACCTTTACTTGGAAACTATTCTGAATTTCGGTGAATGTAATTTGGAAATATTTCATCATGTACACAGATTTATAAAAAAAAAAGGTCTAGAAAGTTTTTGTGGAAGTATTAAGGCCTAGCATATTTTAAATTTCTTGTACAATATACACCCTTTACTTGTTACTTGTTATGTATGATAGCTTGTAGCCATATTGTACGTGAAGAGAAACCCTATAGTGAGTGAGTTGGGTTTAACGCCGCTTTTAACCGTATTCCAGTTATATCGCGGCGTGTCAGCTTAATGTGGGAGGAAAGCCCGAAGTGATGCCGGTCTCACCACTTCGTTGAAACCCTAGATTCGAACCCACAATCATAGGTTTCGGGCGTGCCCAAGGGACGCAACTCTGCACAGCGAATCGCGGCGCCTTAGACGACTGTGCCACCCGTGCCCCCAGAAACCCTATAACACGATAAACTTTTGTCCAATTGTTTTGACTGTCAATAAAATAAGATGAAATCAAATCGAAGGCAGTCATACTATTTCACGATAATTAAACATTATCTCACTATTATTACATAAATCTAATCTTGCCTCAGCAAAACACAATAACCTTTCGGCCATAATAACATATATTGAGCAATTTGGCATTCCCGACACACGTCTCCCTTTCTTATTATGTATTTGTAATATTTATAATTTTAGAAGCTGAAAATACAAGAAATTCACTGAATTTTACCAGTGGTCTTACCAGCTGTTGAAGTAGAACTTGTGTCGACAGCTGGTCGATTTGGCCCTTCGTGTAGATCCAACAGCGCTGAGATGGAAAACTTTAACATGCTTGTAGGAGTTGCCTCCCTTTGACTGTTCGGCACCACATTAACGCCAAGGTCATTTTCGGCGTTGTTCAAACAACTTTCATGATGTTCCTCTGCCTCATCTGAATTCTTCGTGTTGTCATCTAATTCCGACTGAATATTTTCACCGATGGTCGGAGGCGACAGGTCCCCGGATTGTGTTGAGGCCATACTGGCTTACTAGCAGATTTAATCTAAACATGAATTCGTTGTGACTTTATATATCGTTTGAAAACAATTACACTTTGATAAAGAGACGAGTTCCTGTTTAATCTCCTGTTCGCTACATCCACCACGTCATTTACAAGTCTTCACTTCCAAAAACGCCTTAAATGTGGTTAATTACCCTCCATAGCAAGGGACATTCTACTAGCTCAAAAATCAATCTATCAAATCGTCTCTTTGTAGGGCTTTCATTTCTAATCGGGCATCAGAAGAGAAGATTTGATGAAGATGACGACGGCAGATATGAAAACACTTGTCTATTATAAAAGCATCGTCCCTCGAGAACAATTAAGAGTATAACCCGCGGCGGTTACGCGGCCAATAAGGGAATCGTACGGCTTCTCCACGCGCAGAACCACCGAGTTGATTCCGTTATTCATCTTCACCTGATATTAGGAAAACCTACAATTACGGTAATAATTTGGTCAGATTGTCACTTGTTTCAAAGATCTAGGATGGGCGTAGGAAACTAAAAGCAATATCAAGGCATAAATTCGGTTCTAATTTCCTGATTATAAAGTTGAAGTGTGCATAAACTTTGGATAATCGATGAAGTTGAGCTGTCTTGGATAATTAGATTTGAATATTACTGATATTAAATTTACTGGCATGGCATTTCTTTTGAAGGCGCCAGTCTCACACATTATATTATCCGCAGATCAAAGTCTGATTTAACCTAAATTTGTTTTTGTCTCATTCGTGTAGCTCTCTTGCGCTTCCTTTTGCTGCTGCAACAAAGATGACGATTTCGCCTCCGTATGTTTTTTTGTGATAGTAAGTTTTTTAATTCTTGTGAACTCTTGCACATGACAAACGAAATAAATCTGTATATTCTAAATAAAACTGCTACTTTTAGAATTATTGTTTGATTGTAATTCTATGAAACTATACTTACAATTTCAATATCGAGTACAAAGTATTCCTGTAGATTATATTAAAATGTTACCCTATATGAAACTATACCTCAGAATTTATAACCATTTTCCATTTGCTTGAAACATAGGTAACATGAATTACAAATAAAAATTGAATATCTTATGTAAGCACTGACTTAATGTTTGTTTATTTTGTTTTGTTTTTTGTTTCTGCCTTTTTCGTTTGTTTAAGTGATGTGAAATGTGAAATGTTTAACGTCGCGTTCAATATCATTACAGACGCCTTTCCTCCCACATCAAGCTGACACGTGATATAACTTTAATCCTCGCGACTTGAAATAGAATCTCAAAATTTGATTAAGTAATGAGGATTGCTGCGTGTGTGCTTATACTTATAAAATGAAAACAACCCATTCCGCCGAAAAGGAATATACATGTAACTTACAGTAAAAAACATTGCAAAAAAACAGTGAAAAACATTGCAAAGTGCGCTTTTTCAAGAAAAGATCGACTGTGACGCAATCTAAATACTTCTTCAATTGTCATCTGAAGTTTTCAAAATGTGTGTTCATGTGTCCCACAAATTAATGAAATGTCCGTCACCTAAATTAAAACCATGGGGAGACCTACTATTCGAAGCAAATATTGTTAAGTAATAAGACAAAAGTACCAAGATAACCTTCCAAATCAACTTAATAGAAAATTTACAATGATGTCCCCATTAATACACGTTCATAGCCATGATGAAGACAAATGGCATAGTAATTTTTAAAGTGAAATGTACGTTACCGTTACAATCACAAGCTTAAACATGAAAACATCAGTAAATCACATTCACTGACAGGATCTTTACAAACTACAGCTGTTTGTACCCATTTTCCTGAAATTAGCTTTGTTCTAAGGATACCATGTGCAACCTTTAGTCCTCCATAGGCGGCAAGCATCCAAGATTGGTAATGCTGGACACGAAAACATTCCGGACTGTTTATCGCCGACAATAATTGGTATGTATGGCAGAGAGTGTGTTTCTTGTTCATTTTATTACATTTGTTTGTGATCTTGAGTAACAACCATTGGATATGTTTCAAAAAGATGAAAAATAGCTGCATTTATAAGTCAAGTTGAGATACTGCTACATTTTGTCGAACAAAGAAGGGGATATGTACGTTACCGCATGTAACGTACATTTCATAAAAGGAGCCATTTCAAAATTATGTACGTTTTGGATAATGTAGATGTTTTCTGCTAAACTTCTGACATTTAGAAAAATAACAACTATTATTCTGTTAATAATGTTTTAAAGAAGACAAATGTCTTTCCACAAACATGTTATGAATGGGAGTCATTAGACTTGTCCTCCTCAGTTCAACTTTACCTTCGGGGGTCATCTAAGGCGCCGCGATTCGCTGTGCAGAGTTGCGTCCCTTGGGCACGCCAGAAACCTATGATTGTGGGTTCGAATCCCGGTTCGCCCCAATTATGTTTCTAGGTTTGTCAGCACCATACCCGTGCTCGTGGGTTTCACCGAAGTGGTAAACGTCTTAGACCTGCATCACTTCGGGCTTTCCTCCCACGTTAAGCTGACACGCCCTGATATAACTGGTATAATGTTAAAAGCGGCGTTAAACATAACCCACTCAACTTTACTTTCAGCTGAATGTGATGTAAAACTATTATTAAGGAGCGATTTGGGAATAGGATCTGATGACAATGATAATGTTTGATCATTTAATCTCAAATAAGTACACATGAAGGAGGCTATATGAGGCTTAAATAACATACAAGTCAAACATATTAAGTATGAAACGTGTCTTCGCTCTTTATAGATGTTTGATATGTTAGTTACATTTGATATCTTCGTTACTTGTTGGTAATTGTATAGGTATATTTCAAAGGAGTATTGCTAACCATTGTTTTAAGTCTGCATTTTCGTCCTGATAAATGTTTCCGGCCAAATCCAGTGGTCTAAGGAGTTTGACACTTTCATTTTATACATCAAATTATTTGTTCCCTTTCAAAATTTCTTAACGTAGCTGAGAGTATAATGAAAGAAGTAACATTATTTCAACTTGCTCACCTATATTTTATGTAAGTAAAGAACTTGTTCAGATATTCTTGTTTTGATTAGCAATGTGTCTGCTGAGAAAAGTCTAGTGGTAGAGCGCCCGCCCGGAGAGCGGAAGATCCGGGGTTCGATCCCCGGCCGCGTCATACCAAAAGACGTTAAAAGATGGTACTTGTTGTTACCCTGTCTGGTGCTCGGCATTAAGGGGCTTAAACAAGGACTGGTCGGCTCGGAGTCAGTATACTGTGTCCGAGTGGGGTATTCATGTTAAACTGCGGCATGGTATCTCAGTGTGCTAGCACTATAAATCGGCATCAGTCCGGACTAGTACAAGCAGCCACACACACACACACGTACATGCACGTCGCTATATAAGTGAAATAATCTTGGACGCGACGTTAAACCCAATTTCACCACACCTCACCTGCTGAGAACATTGTTTGAAACTAAGGTGGCCTTATATACAAATCAGGCAATTTTGTGTACGTTACAATTGTTCTGGATTTTGGAATATCATGTAGAGGTCGGATATATAGTTGTAGCCATAAAAAACCCCGAGGATATGATCTACAATAATTGCAGGTTTTGGGAGTAACCATTGTAAGGATAAGACCGAACCTAATTCATTTTCATTGAATTCGAAGTTTTAACTTTTGAAATATTTGAAAGAAAAACGGACAGTTGTCGGGGAAATCCTATTCTTAAAAAAATGTGACATTGTGTCTGTTATTGGAATTACTGAAAATATAATATATACTGTATAGTATTTGAAAATACATAAAGTAGTCTCCTGTTGTATTTTGCTGCTTTATATCAAGTATTATGTTCGTTTCCTTAATCTGTAGCATACATTTCGCTACATGTTCCTTCAGAAGTGGACCCATAAACTTTGAATGCTAATCCTGAGCTAATAATACAACGTAATTTGAGATCCTGCAAATGCTTCAAAACCAAATAAGTTACATGTGTGCCGTATTAAGTTCATTTGTGTGAAATGTTGGGGTAAAAAGGCTCGTCTTATTGAACTTGAGTGCTATACGCATTTCTGAACACTGATTGGTTACCCGTGATCAATGACGATTTCGATATTACAAATTACATTAATTACATTATAATACATTTCTTCAACCTCAACAAAGAGACATAAGAATGGTGGAAGCTCATCGGATGTCGTTATTTGGAAATACCCATGATGGTAATAGTTTCATAAAAAAGGTATCCCTGCAGTGAACTAATTTTCGGATTTCGGATTGCGTGGATAGTGCGATTGCTATTCCCTTGCTGTCATCCATGTTTCCTGGTGTAACCAACCCTAAGGTGTCGGCCCGGGAGTGCAAAGTTTGATATTTAGGAGGAAAAATCCTCTTGGCGTTCCCGGGACCAGTAAGGTCTCAGACACGGTCCACAGACACGGGATTTGGCGCTCCCGGTACCGGGCAAATAAAACGAGAACAAAGGAGTACCGAGATAGAAAATGTACCATTGCAGGAAAGAATATATATCATAAAACGGTACGCATTCACGGTTCACCGCACTTACGGGTCATCCGTCGATTTGGCTTTCCCTGTACCAGCAGCAGAATCTCTCGATTCATGAGTTCGGCCTTCCCGGGATTATCTGATATTCAGATTTGGCGTTCCCTGTACCAGCAGCAGAATCTCTCGAAACATGAGTTCGGCAATCCCGGGACTATCCGAAATTCAGATTTGGCGTTCTCGGTACCAGCAGCTGAATCTCTCGATTCATGAGTTCGGCCTTCCCCGGACTATCTGAAATTCAGATTTGGCGTTCTCGGTACCAGCAGCTGAATCTCTCGATTCATGAGTTCGGCACTCCCGGGACTATCCGAAATTCAGATTTGGCGTTCTCGGTACCAGCAGCTGAATCTCTCGATTTATGAGTTCGGCCTTCCCGGGATTATCCGAAATTCAGATTTGGCGTTCTCGGTACCAGCAGCAAAATCTCTCGATTCATGAGTTCGGCCTTCCCCGGACTATCTGAAATTCAGATTTGGCGTTCTCGGTACCAGCAGCTGAATCTCTCGATTCATGAGTTCGGCACTCCCGGGACTATCCGAAATTCAGATTTGGCGTTCTCGGTACCAGCAGCTGAATCTCTCGATTTATGAGTTCGGCCTTCCCGGGATTATCCGAAATTCAGATTTGGCGTTCTCGGTACCAGCAGCAAAATCTCTCGATTCATGAGTTCGGCCTTCCCCGGACTATCTGAAATTCAGATTTGGCGTTCTCGGTACCAGCAGCTGAATCTCTCGATTCATGAGTTCGGCACTCCCGGGACTATCCGAAATTCAGATTTGGCGTTTTCGGTACCAGCAGCTGAATCTCTCGATTTATGAGTTCGGCCTTCCCGGGATTATCCGAAATTCAGATTTGGCGTTCTCGGTACCAGCAGCAAAATCTCTCGATTCATGAGTTCGGCCTTCCCGGGACTATCTGAAATTCAGATTTGGCGTTCTCGGTACCAGTAGCAGAATCTCTCGATTTATGACTTTGGCCTTCCCGAGATTATCTGAAAACCAGATATGGCGTTCCCTGTACCAGCAGCAGAATCTCTCGATTCATGAGTTCGGCACTCCAGGGACTATCTGAAATTCAGATTTGGCGTTCTCGGTACCAGCAGCTGAATCTCTCGATTTATGACTTTGGCCTTCCCGAGATTATCTGAAAACCAGATATGGCGTTCCCTGTACCAGCAGCAGAATCTCTCGATTCATGAGTTCGGCCTTCCCCGGACTATCTGAAATTCAGATTTGGCGTTCTCGGTACCAGCAGCAGAATCTCTCGATTCATGAGTTCGGCCTTCCCCGGACTATCTGAAATTCAGATTTGGCGTTCTCGGTACCAGCAGCAGAATCTCTCGATTCATGAGTTCGGCCTTCCCCGGACTATCTGAAATTCAGATATGGCGTTCTCGGTACCAGCAGCAGAATCTCTCGATTCATGAGTTCGGCCTTCCCCGGACTATCTGAAATTCAGATTTGGCGTTCTCGGTACCAGCAGCTGAATCTCTCGATTCATGAGTTCGGCCTTCCCCGGACTATCTGAAATTCAGATTTGGCGTTCTCGGTACCAGCAGCAGAATCTCTCGATTCATGAGCTCGGCCTTCCCGGGATTATCTGAAATTCAGATTTGGCGTTCCCTGACCATAACCAACCCTGCACCTGTGTATTTCTCGTCATTCGCTTGATGCTCAGTTAATGGATTTATTACAGGTATAATTAGTGATAGCACCACAGTTTAACTGACAAAGGTTTCCATTCGGCATTTCTTGGGTCTGGGGTAATTATTCAGTCTAAATCCAGGGATGCAGTGGGGTGAAATGTGTGTCATGTAATATGCACGTGACAGCGCAGGAACGACCAGTTGAGTTAAAAATACCGACAATACGTTGATTGATCTTGCACAGTGGATTTGTCAAAAGTAAGCGTTTATAAATGTAGGTTTACTCAAGCAGATGGAATACGCCCATATCTGACCCGTAAAGGTTCCGGGTTAGAATAGGTCTTCAGCAACCCATGCTTGCCGTAAAAGGCGACTATGCTTGTCGTAAAAATATAGAAATATAGAAATGTTCTTTCACTTTCGTTTTTTTAATCCTATCATTTTCTGCCATTGCATGGGTGATGAAATTACACATCAAACTGTTTGGAATTCTTTATCTTAATAATTTGTAAAATAACTGAATATTTAGGCGATTTTAGTTATTTTACACATTGAAGTAAAATTATCTTTTATATAGTACCATGACCTCGGTAGTGACCTCATATATACAATCTTGCGTATGCATTTTGCGCTACAAGCCCCTTGCTGTGACTATCCTGTCGGTCAGTATATTATTTTGAGTCGGGTACGTACGTATAGGTATACTGAGAGCCTAAACAGAGGAGCCTAATTTAATAGTTTTATAAAAGCCACACCCCGCAGCAGTGATGACTTAGCATTAAACAGATATAAAAAAACCATATGCAATATCTTGAATGGTCTGTGTTCGATGTGGAGAATCGTCACATGTTGCTGGCCTGTGGCAGAGGTAAGGCAAGCCCAACGAATCTCTGGGTAGGAGAGCGGATGAAAGCAATAACCCGTCCCTCAGCACAAAGTGATGACGTAGTTCACATTACACTTTGGAGATGCAGGTTTTGTGGTTTAGGTGCGACGTTATTATACCTTCATTGAGCTTGGGGGTTCTCGTTGTTTCTCTCTTAATTGGCAGCTTTTTCTTCTGGCACGAGATTCAACACGAACCGGACACTGAACGAAATTGCAAGTAAGTGCATTGGGCAAGATTGCATGCAGAAGATGGCTGATAACCGCGTCATACTGCCAGTTATCGATCGCCGATTAGGTCACAGAGCGTTCTACTACCAGTACTATTTCATCTGTAGGGTTCAGAAGGGCAAAGGGCAGTTTTCACGTACATGTTGGGAAATAATTGTTGACAGTGACAGAACGTTAATTAATTAACACTTTGCAAGCAAATGACATGCATTAATTTTACTGTTATTCGTTTCGCGATGCCGATATAATATATGAAGAGCAGGAAAATAAAAGTCCCCCAGTTTTCGCTCACTTCCTTGTTTACATCAGAGACCATATAATAGACTATTATTATATGGTCTCTGTTTACATTGACAGATTACTTGAAAATATTTTTCCCATCTGATGGAAATGTATGTTTTATCACCAGATTTAATGGTAAACTGTTATAAAATAGTAGATCAGTGATGAGTACAAACAATACATCATGTGTACATGAGTGTTGTTTATTTATTTACATATATTAAAATAACATCTTTGGCAGCGTTATAAATTGGCATTAGTCCTTTAAAGAATCCAATAGTTAAGGTATCATAAGGAATAGTAGTTGCTGTATTTTATCATTACAAGGACTAGTGGACTAAAACTCTTAGTTTCTATTGCTGTCTTAGGTGTGGCAGTTTGACTTATAATGAAGCATTATGACACTTTTCTTTAGATAAGTCTGAAAAGTAAGGGGTGTACAAATTGTGTAAACTAACAATTTGATTTTTAAACTACAATATTTAATAGGAACCACTTAGACTATTCTTTGGCATGGTACAATCAAGGAATGTTCAAAACTATTCTTAGGAGGTGAGGCTATTGATTGTGCAACACTCTTACCCAGGGATTTACCTGGCATATTTATTTAGGGTGTCCACGGGACTCAAAGCCTCATATTGTAGGGGTCCTAGGTTAAAAAATGGGGTCCTAAGCTGCAGAATGTGGGAGCCAGAGAAATGTGAAAAATTGAATACAGTACCGGTACTCTACCATTGCTAACCACAAGTGATGTAACATTGTGCATGCTCAGAGGCCATTACTTAATAACAGATAACGTATTCAACGTAATAAGCGCCCCGCTCTAATAAGTGCCCACTGCGATATTTGCTAATATATTGGATGGTGAACAATCCCAATTAGCAACCCTTCCGATTGATCAATGTACACAAGACTTATTTATTTGTGTATAATACGCACTCGTGTGTTATATGCACCTTTAATTGTGGGCAATTAAATTCTGGAAAATATATCTGTCATGTATGATACACGCAGACTTTTCTTTTGTATCATTTCAGGCTGCCAGCATAAACCACGAAATTTACGATCTTTCAACTCTGTTTTTTTCTCACCAAAATTATATTCTTATTAGAGCCCCCTATTTCTAATTTGAGAGCGTCCTGGGCACTTATTACATCGAATACGGTATGAAGTTCCCATACTGAAAAGAATCTACTTGTGCATGAAGATCGATAAGCATTTAACTGGTTATTGTACTTTTTGAATGATTACCATGATTACATAGAAGTTAATTATGAGTGGTGCCAATTTATGATATGGCAGCATTTATTTCTAGGCATGCTCACAAACATTCTTTGTCCTAGTGGATGTGTATAGGATGCAGGATTTCCTGCCATCTGGTTACCTTACACAACCATGACTGCTGACACACATGTAATCATGAGAATGTTAGTAACACCGGGCAATGATCACTGGCCTGACATGGGCTCCAGATCTTCCGCATCTTACATTATTTTTCCTAACCTTACCTGAACCATTAACACTGCAATATTTTTCACCATTATTACCAGTGTTCCTGTTTAGGCTTGGACTGATAATTCATCTGATTGCCAGTCCCTATGGTCGGCAAATAAAGTACCTTATAAATCTATGTTATTGAACAAAACATCAGCAATATCCATATAAGTATAGTTTTCAAACAACTTTCTTTTTTTTTTTTTTCTTTTTTTTTTTTTTATGCCACACTCAGCAATATTCCAGCTATATGAAGGCGGACTGTAAATAATCGAGTCTGGACAAGATAATCCAGTGATTGATATCACGAGCAACGTTCCACTCAATTGGGAACGATGACATGTATCAACATGATCAACCAAGTCAGCGAGCCTGACCACCCGATCCCGTTAGTCGCCTTTTACGACAAGCATAGTCACCTTTAACGGCAAGCATGGGTTGCTGAAGACCTATTCTACCCCGGAATCTTCACGGGGCTTTCAAACAAAGTCAGCTTGTCTGTTGCCATCTGGGTTTTCCCTTGTCTATTTTCTGTGCGAGGAAATAACATTTTGCATTGCTTCAAGGTTAATTATATATTTGTACCGATATAGTCATGAAATATTCACGAAAAAAAATAGAGAAAATTGTGACTGAACTTTGTGTGAATGACATGTAGATCTAACTATATTACTTCAGAGAATCGGATGATGTCTTTTATTTGTTGAAAGTTGGGACTGACAAAAAATAGGGGGGACTGGTAATTTTTAGAGTTTCAAAAGCAAGCGGGAACACTGATCACTACAGAAGAAGATGGGGACATTTTTAGGTAAATTGTTTTGCCGGAACATTGTCATTATTTATTAGTTACTATGAACATGTGAACATGATGAAGTCAGAACAAGTAGAAATGATTGATAGAGAGTTTTACCTTGACATATAAATTACGGGTCGAGGGGACCCTCAAGAATTAATTTTTAAGGGTCCTTGCAGGCAATATAAGGGTGCTGTAAGGTAATGAAATGGTGTAGTGTACTGGACGTTTTGATACAGTAAACTATGTTTATAGTGAACATGCATCATGATGCATTTAACAAACTGACAGACATAACAAACATATTTTTTGGTCCCGGTCACTTGCTGTATATATGCTTACAACACACTACAGTTATAGCGAACAAAAAGTCAGTGGTCCCATTGAGTTTGTTATAACCGTAGTTTACTGTAATTACTGTAGAGCATGGAATGAATCAATGATCATGTGGATAGTGGTCATGATTGGTGGATGAAATGACAGACGCCCATGTTGCTCTGTAGGTACAATGAATGTTATTGTCCATCCCATTACATCCCCATGATCTCTGTTCTGTTGTAATAAGGGGAGATTAGGATCTACAGGTTTGTACACACTCCAGCTCAGGTGTGCACCTTGTACCATGTGTAACATTACGACATTGCCGCTGTATTTGAAGGTAATCATCAACTGCTAGATCATGTAGATTGATAAACATAATAAACATGGAGATAAACGTGCATAACTTGAATCAAACTTGATGGGACTGCCAGTCTAGTCCTCCTTACAAAGATTCTGAAATCAGGGATTTAGCCAGGATTTTAAGCTATGTGTCTTTGGCAAGCAATTGGGAAAAACGTTACTTTGTTCAAAGTTGGGAATTGATTTTACAGTTTTTATTTCAACATTGCATTCAACATGTTGAGTACAATTATGTAAAACTATAAAGAGTAAAGCCTTTTCCTTTTTATTGTTTGTTATCAGAGAAATATGTCACCTCTGTAAAGCCCTAACATTAGTTATAACCATAATCATAATATTTTGGGAAATTCTAAATTCCAATTTGGAAATTGTTAAAGACGTTTGCTGCAGACTTGAATCCAAAATTCATCCTCTGAGCCCAGTGTTCTCGCTGGCTTTTGAAACTGCCAGTCCTTGTCTAAAAATTGCCAGCCTCCCCTAATTTTGCCTAGTCCCAACTTTCAACAAATAAAATAAACATATAAAAATTATTTGGTTTTAAATCTATAATTCTATATGTCATTCATACAAACTTCAGTCACAATTTTCTATTCTTTTTTTAAAAAATATTTCGAGACAAAGTCGCAACAAATGGATATTTAACCTAGAAATCGCCCAGAAATAGACAAGGGGAAACCCTGATGGTTACAGACAAGCTGACTTTGTTCGAAAGATGTACTTATATGAATATCGCCGATGTTTTGTTCAACATGTTCAACAACAAAGATTTATGAGGTACTTTATTTGCTGGTCCACAGGGACTGACAGTCACATAAATTAGCCTAATTTTAGTAGTAAAATACTGGTAATTACCGGTCGACGGGAACGCTGCTCTGAGCAGGTCTAAATAAATAACTGGAGGTCTAACAGCAAGTTTGATCTAGTAGGTTTTGGCACAGATTACATATGAGGTTTACAGAACATTTGCTTGTCAGACAGACAATTTACTGGACTAGGGATTGGGTTTGTTTGTTTGTTGTTGTTGTTTAATGCTGCACTCAGCAATGTTCGAGCTATATGACGGCGGTCTGTAAATAATCAAGTCTGGACCAGACAATCCAGTGTTTGACATCATGAGCATCGACCCATGCGATTGAGATACAATGACATGCATCAACCAAGGGAGCAAGCCTGACCACCCGATCCCGTTTCTCGCCTCTTAAGACAAGCATAGTCGGCTGTTATGGCAAGCATCGGTTGCTGAAGACCTATTCTACCCTAGATCTTCACGGGTCACTTATTGTTTAGCACATGGTGAGGTGACACTTTTTTGTCATATTTTCGTTTACTGATTTGACCAACCTGAACCAAACACAACAGTCAGATAAATATTTTTTTGTGGAATATGAACTTAAGTAACTTCTCAGGAGTAAATATGTATACATGTTAGGGCTGGCTAAAAAGATTGATAATCGCAATTATCGTTGATAAAAAGAATTATTAACGATTATCGATATGAAATTGTTACCTTTGATAATAACTTGCATAAACTATTGGGATGAAATAAAGTTTTGGTTTACCGAAACTTATTATCAATAATGTCAATTGTCGAAGACGGAAAGCAACTGTTTGTTTTATCTCAAATGTCAACAAAGTAATCCATGCATAAATGTGTCACAGGCATTAGTGGTGTGAAATATATTGATTTCTTTCGGGACTTTCTGGCATTTTTTGCTCATAAGTTACTTCTCCGATGTTTA